GTTTGTTCTGAAATTGGCGTTTTCGCGCAAATGCGCTTTCTCCTAGAAAAAATCATAATTTCGAACCTCGGTCAAGAAGCAGCTTGAAAGTTTCACAGTTTCCACAAGAGAGTTCAGTCTCAAAGGCCCAAAAGTTTCACTAAAATCGCTAGAACTCCTGATTTTTGCGGACTAGGAAAACTTGTGGTGAATTTAACGTTTTCGCCCAAATGTACCTACTTTCTGCTTGAAAATTGCATACCTTCAAATCTGAAGCAAGTAGCACCTTGAAAGTTGTACAATCTGTAGGAGACAGTTCAATCTGGAAGTTTCGAAAGTTTCACTAAAATCGCCCCAATTCCTGATTTTTTTAGACTCGCAAAAAGTTGAAATTGACTTTTTCACGATGATGTGCTTTCTCCTTGAAAAATGTATAATTTCGAACTTAGATGAAGCAACAACTTGAAAGTTTCACAATCTACAGAAGACAGTTGAGTCTGAATGTCCTAATAGTTTCGCTGAAATCGCCCCAATTTCTGATTTTTGCGGGCTTTGCGGAAAATGTTCAATTAAACTACCCACATTATTCTTGACGATTTTTATGGCCACCCTATATGTCGGTAGATACATACCTAGTATTAAGTCGAGTTAGTTGATTGAACAAAGTTAGTTATTCCCGGTCGGTTTCAGGGCCTGAACAGGCCAAGAAAGTTGCCTCCTATTGGCTTAAAGCCTAATGGTGTTTTTTCGCTAAATATTTCATTCGTTAATAGATCCGTTCGTTGCGTGCCATCGGGAAATCAAGAACGCCAACCATTTAAATTAATAAATGACAGTTAAATTAAAAGGCCCAGAAAAAACTGACGATTCCGAACGGAAAAAACGGGATCTAATGGTGGCCTTTACGATCCATCAATGCGGACGATTAATTGGGAACGAAACTACTGGTTTTCATTAGTTTTTCCGATGCGTAAATCTGAGAAGGAAAATGGGGGTTTGATGTTTAATTTACTCATTCGCTTTTGGACCCAACTTGGTCATCAAGCGAGCTGAAGAACGGGCGAAAAACAACTGTTTAGATGAATTTCCTTAAAAGCTCCCCATTTTAATGGTCTGAAATTGACGATTCCGTTGCATAATTTCGCGCTAGATTCCGCCCAAACGATGCCAACTATGCAAAATTGCCATCTACATACTTGGTCAAGCAGGCCCGTATGTCGTTTGTTTGCTGATTTCGGTGCAAATGGAGATGGCAACACCGCACGCGATTAATACACGGTGGCACGTCAAGTTGTCGCTTGTAAAAATAATTAAAAACGTAGCCCAGATTGGACACTTTTTGACGCCCGCAACATTATTAGCCGACTCGGTTCGATCGCGATAAGCATGAATCAAGCCATTAAAAATGTCACGCAAGCATTGTCCATGTGAAAAGCGCCTAGTTAAGGCCCGAAAAGGCCATTAAGTCGACTGGCGGCACACGTGAATCGCGAAAAATTGAAATGCGAATTTCACTCACAGCATGATGCCATTTTCTTCAAAATTGACCGAGCGAAAAACGCCTTAAAACCCTCCTCCTATGCCTGCCAGTGTTGCCAACGTTTCGCGCGGATGCGCCGTTGCCGAATTGCGATTTCTATCTGTGGTTTTCCCTTGATAAATATATTGCAATTAACACTTTCTCTGGGAAAATCGCGCTTGCCCTAATTGTAATTTAGCCTCCCTGTATATAGCGTGAGACGGTTATTCCTCCCTCATTGCAATAGCCTCAATAAGCTCCGAGACTTAGTTATATCGCGCATGGCCTACTTACTGATGTGCCTTCCTTAAGAGCCTTAAGAGGGTCGACTATGAGCCCCCCACTCAAAAACCCAAAGACAACAGCAAATCATTTGTCTCTGTTCCACTTACGCAATGGGTTGTGGTGCCGTCACTGTCGTTCGAAACTAATCCACACAAATCGGGGCTCATGCACCAATC